GATGGTTCGGCTCCTGCTCCTACTTTCAGTCCCAGAGTCAGTCCTCCCTTCATGAGCACACTCCTCCACCGGAGATGCTTTTTCCCGCAGGAGTGACCCTGCAACTACTCCCGAATTGGAGAACGGTGGAGGATATAACTGGCTTATGGGATGGAAACACCCTTTATCCCAGGTTGCACAAGTAGGGGGAGGGTGCAGCCGTTCGTTTTGTGCTCCAGGACGACCCATGGAGTCATAAACACCCATGCCAGTCCCCATGGGGCGTGCATCGTGCTTACAAGCAGATAGTCCACTCTTCTCCACTCCGCTCCGCTCAGCATCCCCACACATGGGGGGGCCGAGGGGTCGCACCACCGTCCATTCCCCGAAGACGCCTCATGGTCCCCAACCACCTCAAGCGTCTCTTGCTCTCCCCCCATCCACCGCAAGTCGGGCACCGCAGCCAGGTAGTCCGGATGCATCAGTAGCCCCACAACCATCCTTCGCAGCCCCAAGCGCAGCACGTGTTGTGGAGCGGGTCCAAGGTCCCCGTCTACCGGGGGATGCCATCGTTCCGCAGCGGGTTGTCCTTTGCCAACGACGTGCCGGCATCCGTGAAGCACTGAGGGGGGTGGGTGAAGGGGGAGGGTTTAGAGCTGCCTTGCCCGTACCAGCATAAGTCATCGACAAACCCACATCACCGGCTATGTCATCGTAGTTGCCGGGTGGGGCATCTTGGTCACGAGAAAGTGCTCCATTTTGCAATCCATTGTTGTTAACCGGTTTGTCCCGACTCGGTGAATTAGGGGGTCGTGAGTTGCTCCCTGTTCGTGCCCAGTTGCGCTGCCAGGTGTGTACGAGTCGTAACTGGGTGTCGGCTTCCTCAAAGCATGGTAGAGCAAGGTCAAAGAGGTCAACGGGTCTGCCCATGGGTGACTGCACCCCAGGATTACCACCATGGAAACCCTCAACAGGATGCCTCCCAGGGGATTGGTATGCTGAGGGAGTTCCACCCCCTTCCTTTTTCCAAACCAATCGGGGAGTATGCCCATCCTCAACTTCCTGCGCAGCAGCTCGTAGGGTGGTGTAGGATCCCCTTTTCCCTGGAGCACAAAATGAACGGCTGCACCCTCCCCCTACTTGTGCAACCTGGGATAAAAGGTGTTTCCATCCCATAAGCCAGTTATATCCTCCACCGTTCTCCAATTCGGGAGTAGTTGCAGGGTCACTCCTGCGGGAAAAAGCATCTCCGGTGGAGGAGTGTGCTCATGAAGGGAGGACTGACTCTGGGACTGAAAGTAGGAGCAGGAGCCGAACCATCTGTAGCAAGGAGAGTAAAATCCTCATTGACCGACCACGCCCAATGACTAGGGCTTGGTGCTGGATGCAGAGTAACGGCCAGCTATAAGGGAGCTTCTCCCGCCCTGTATGAACTACAGCCCTGAGGAAGTTGGCGGTTTGCCAACGAAAGCTAGGTTTTTAATTCTTGTAGATTTCTAAGGAACAATTTTATAGGTTTTAGCCATGCATTGTCTTGTTGGTTTTAACCATTAAATATTTTTTAGAGTCTCTTTTTTCTCCTGGTGTTCTTTACTTTTGTACTCTATTATGGATCCTCCCAGGAGTCATGGGTATGTCTTTTGTGTTATTTTATATATATATATATCAACTCTGTGTGGTGGCTTGGGCTGAGAAAGAGTGACTGGCCCAAATTCTTTCAGCTGGTTTTCATGCCTAATATAGGACTAGAACTCATAGTTTTGTGGTTTCTTGGGTTTTTGATTCCAAGGTTGTTTTTTTAAGCTAGCTTCTAAAAGCTACCATGTATTTGTAGCATACTTAAGCTGATTTTGATATTTTTCAAAGATTAAGAGTAAGAAACTAGAAGTAGCCACGCTTTATTTTCCCTAACAACTCTCATTTCAGGCAATCATGATTACAACTGATACATCAGGCTGAACCTGCATAGCCCATCATTTTGGAATTTCTCCTCCCCTTAACCTTATATCTGATGGTTCCCTTTTTTATTAACATCTCAAACTTAATAATTAAGTCCTCTGGACTAGTATTCTTCTTACTGATCTCATATTTGATTGACTTGGCTGCTTTTGGCTTGGACCAACGTGGTGCTGATTTCAATGGGGTGGTGGTTGACACTTATTTAGTTCAACTTGTTCTGGCTTGGATGGAGTATCTTTAAACACTTGGTTGACTGTCTTTCACTGGTTTTAATTATCCTGGCCCTGGCTAGAATAAATTTGGCTTATTGCTTAACCTTTGCCCTTCCTTAGCAAAATCTTGCAATGTTCCTTGCTGGGATTCTGCTGGCTGCTTAGCTTTTCTTACATCACACTTACTGAACATATTGAGGGGGTTTGCTAGCTAGGTCCTCTCTTTTTCTCTGCCATCTCTCTGGTGGTCACCTTGTCAGCCAAATTCTTTGCCCCCTCTGGAATCTTGTTAATAGCCAACATGCTGGGTAAAGCTATTGGACTACTGCTTGTGGTCCTGAGTTTCTCGGAGCTGGCTGATCCACCAATCAATTCTTCTTTATATCACTTCATATAACATATCACTTCATATGCCAGATCATATAATTTTGGGAGGGATATAAGAGCACACTATTAGATATATGATATAATGGTCTTTTTCCTCATCATAAATTTAGACTTAAAGAATTTGCAGAATGATTAATTTCATTGAAATATTTGCTTCAATGTATGAACAAAAGGCTATGAAAAGCATAAAAGTTCATTAGCAGCAAAACTTTTCAAAACTTCCTCTGTTCTAATTAACTGAAAGATTATAATTTTTTTAGTTATATTATTTGACATTTCACAAGTTATTCCCCAAACCTATTTGAATCTAGTTTTCTAATTAATGAAAAACAAAAAAGCAGTGTCCTTGCAATATCCCCAGTTGTGTCAAACAAACTTAAAAATAAAATCTAGCAATCTTGATTCCAGATAAAAGAAATGGACCACATATTCCCTGACTCACTGATCCCAAAGGAAATATATTAATTTATCTCTTGACAATGAAATTTTGCTAAAGTACTTGTAGCTTAATATATACTGTTAAGAAATTTTTTTTTCCCCTATGGGACAATTCTGAGAATTTGGAAGCATAGCAATTTTCAAATGAAGCTTGTTTGGGTTCTATTATTGAAGACCTAAATAATCATTCTAGGAAAGCAGTTATAATAGAATCTTAGTCTGTGTCCATGTGAATGATGTATGTATTCCCTTTTTAGGTCTCTTTACATTAAATCTCCATGTTTTGTATGATCATTTCCCTAATATGTGCTTTTTAAAAAACACAGCTACCCCATGCAAGTTTTTTTATATCTCTTTCTATGGTGTATCATCTTTTTCTTTTCAGACTATTCCAAAATAGATTATTTTGTTGTATGTATTTTATCTGAAAATGTCTGATCACCTGGAACTGGACTATAGACAATTTATGAAAAACAAATGCTAAAATAAAGATACAAAATAAAATACTTAAGAGAGTAGTTTTTGCAAGAGGGGTGGCTTTATACATTCAAACAAATGAACAAAGATCAATCCTCAGAGGCTATGGAAGAGCCATGTTTTTCACTAGCTTCCAGAAGGCGGTGAAAGTGAGTCTATATGTGCTTCAGGCAAGCTGTTCTAGAGAAGGGGCCTGATATAGAGAATTAAACTAGGTGGGGGCCCTCACTCAACCACTCTTCCCTAATTCTTGACATCTTTAGTCCATTATGTTCCAAATGCAGTTGCAACTGGCACATTACCTGAGAAAAACAAAATCTCCTGATCATAGTTTCTGCTTGTCTTTCAGTGGATAACATGAGTCCAGAAGGAGCACAATCCTATCAAGAATCACAGATGGCACAATTCTGGAATCAGTCTCTGAATTAATAGCCAGTCTGTTTTGTATGGGTTGAGTTATGACCAGTTCTGACACAGAGGAGTCTGAGACAAGAACCTGCTCCAGGAGATCTAGTTCAGTCTCAGTCTGAGGGAATTCCAAGCACTCAATTAACTGAGGTTGATCCCCCTGGCAATCACCAGGAGTAATTGCTTCAATTCTTAGAGCATATGGAATTGGAAAGACTACCCAGACCCAAAGTGTGTCATGTGCACTTAAGAGCAAAGGAATATGCTCAGCACATCTTCTTGCACTTCAGAGGCATTCCTAGCTTTGATTGTCTTCACCAGCTTGGGTTCTATTTAGGAACAATTGCTAATCTAACTCCCTTCATTGGGAACAACCACTCTGTCTGCCAAAAGCTCTGACTATTACACCATGAATATATGCTCATGGAAATTCTGTGCTTTTCATCTGGACTGGCTGATAGACTCTCCTCCTCTTACAGGCAGTTGGACTAGATGACCTTCCTTCCAACTCTGTTATTCTATGTTCTATGACTTACCAAAACTATGAACACTAGACTATGCCCTGACAATGTGTCTGCCTGCTGCCAGCAGTTTGTTTATTGAGACTTTGCCTAAAGGTATTCTAAGGGATTTGGGACTGCTTAAGACTGGATGTGCATCTGCATGTGTGCCCTGCCTGCCACTGAAATAATTGCTAAACTAACAATAAAGTCTTTGAACTGTTTTCATTTGTGTGTGTGCCTGGTGTGCCAGATCTGGAAAGAGCAGGTTGAATCTGAGGTTGCTTTTCCCCATGCAAATATTGATAGCCTTCATACACATGACTTCCATTGCATCCCCAATGAGTTGAGGGTAGAAATGAAGAACTTGATACCATAACTATACCAATGATGCCTTACTCTGAACTAGTAGATAGAGTCTCCCAGCAATTTCATATAAATGTTAAGGGATTTAGAAGAAAGAATAGAGGGAGGAACTGAAGTCTAAGATACTCCATAATGAAGTCCCCAGAGGACCAACCTCACTCCTTACACAGCCATTCTCTAGAATCACTTTCCAAAGAAGAAGAGGACCCCCCCCCCAAAAAAAAATATTTTAGGCAGTTCATAAGGAGACTGTGGGTTCTCCAAATCCTTTAAGTCTAGTTCACACTTGCTGCAGACATATCTGGAAAACCTGAAACATGCACACAACCTGAAATGTAGGCAAAATCTGGGCTCCACTATTCCAAGAGAATAGTAAGAACAGTACATTAAGGACCTACAGACTTAGATTTAAGATTCAAAAGAATAGGTAAAGTCTATCAATATGGTTATAGGGTATGCATGAAGGAAAAGAAGGAGTAGATGAACTGCTGCAGAAGTTTCTAATTTTCAGATTTCCTGCTAACTGCATTCC